TGGTCCCAGCTACTTGGGAGGCTGAGGCAGGAGACTCGCTTGAGCCCAGGAGTTGGAGGTTGCTGTGAGCAGTGAAGCCATAGCACTCTACCCAGGCGTTCAGCTTGAGGCTCTGTCTCAAAAAACAAAACAAAACAAAACAAAAAACAATTTAGCGATGCTCAGGCTTCAAGCCCTCCAGTTTTATCAACAACAGAATGAAAAGGAAATTAAAACATTTTAAAACCCTAAATAAAGAGAAATAGATTAAAATGAAAAGAAATGATTTTACTTATGTTTGGAGTCTTATCTTTGGAAAATATGTTAAAGTAGGTTGCTAAATTGGCATTTGGTAGGTAAGATGATTTAAAGCATCCTCCTATCATATTAACTAAAAAAATCCTAAAGTTAATAGGAGCAACTTGACGGTTATTTTCATAGTAAGTGGTTACCTGATACTCTTTTTAATATAAAGTTCATTATGTCCATAGAAGTTTTGCCTGTCTCTGCAGAAAATTTGTAGGGACAAGTAGAAAAATACCCATCATTCTATTGTTAGAACGTTTAACTACTTTTAGCTATTATTAATAACATGACTTTAAAACATTTGTATACGTAGCTTTTCTCTTTTAAATTTCAGAAGACCTTTGATATTCACAAAGAGTATATCTGAGATCATCTCAAGTCCTCATCTACTATTTGACCACATTTCTGGGTTTTGACTTACTTACATGATTGTTGAGAGTTACATTTTTCCTTTGTTCTTTATACCACAAATTGGTTCACATCAAAAATCTAATACATTGAAATTTTATCATTCACTGGAAGCCCATTTTCTATGAAAGAAAGAAACATTAGTTCATAACTGTTTATTGTATACATGACAATAAATAGAGAATAGCAATAGTGAATAATAAAGTCATACGGAAATGGGACTGCTGGGCTGTTTGTTAGACTCACTCTCTAAATTATAGCTTGAAGCAAAGGTTTCAAATTTATACCTCTGTCAAATTTCATCTAATCCTGATCACACAGGCTTCAGCACATCACAGATGTCCAGGATTGCTCCCTAATGGTCAAAATTTTATTTTGTCATTTTTTTAAACAATCAATTTTAAAATCTCTGAATGCCAAGGGTCTATATGCTTTTCTCTTATAAAATCTTTAATTAAAAGCTATTTTTTTACTGTGTACTTTTAAAAACAACTTTCTCTTGCTGCACGTACTTTAGTTCATTGTAAGTCCTGCAGAATCTTGTCTTTGCTATCTCCTTTGGGTATATTCTTTTCTGATAATCCCCACATTGATTTCTGTGGTCAGTCACCTTGAGCCTTACCTCTTGCTTGGACTACACATGAACCCCAGTTTACTTGTCTTAGTCTTCTGATCCTGGCTGTGCTGGTATTTTGTCTTCTCTCTCAGCCTGCTGTCTTCTTGTCCACCAGGATGGCGTTGAGCAGGAAAGTCCAAACTTTAAGTCTCGAGTCTGGAGTTTCTTATTTATTGCTTTATTGGATGTACTTCTTTAAATCAATTT